GTTCTTGAATTGTTGAATTGCTCACTTTTTCTGAAAAAATATATAAGACAACCATTAAATGATTTCATTGTACAATATTAAAACAGTCGTTGTTATTATTGAGTATGTACCAAGAATACTTATACTATAAATATTGTTAAATAGGTTAAAAGTTATTTAAGCCGGTAAACCCATCAAAGTTGGTAGATCATTGCAATTTATAGTCATCGTTCGAATGAGTTAGTAGAGAGTAAAAGAAGTTTTAAAAAAAATGAGCTGCATAGAAGCAACTATCATCACTAACTAAACGTTAAGTGTTCTGACACGCTACTCGAAAAATTTAATTAAAATAAGCATAATATAAAGCAGCAGAATGTAGATATATCATATTTTTTAAAGATTTAAAATTGAACTCAAAAATGTATTTATTTTATAAATTATGATGACGTCAGATTTAAAAATACCATATTTATTTAGACTGTTATCTAAATGACATTAAATACACAAGACTGGAAATATTATACGAAGGCCGCAATCTCTACTAAGCATTATAATATGATTTTTAAGCTAACTACTTATATTATTATACTGTAGTGATAACATTAGGTAACTAATGTTATGTTATTGGTGCCTGAAAAAAAATTACTTATATATTTCTCTAAATACTAGATTGTATTGAATCGATAAGAGACCGATATTTCTGCTCTTATCGACGCGTGGGTTTATTATTAATTTATTATTATTTGATAAATACAACTTTTGAAGAAATTGAAATAAGTGCATTTCATTAACTGACTTATTGACGAATAGTCATATTTGATCATTGTCTTTTTTAAGAAAACTGTCTGGATATCTTATTAAATAAAAGTTTTTGCGTTCAAAATTAGGTTGGCGAAAAGGTGTCACGTGGTCCATCTATGTATATTTAAAAATATATAACAGCTTCCTAGAATTCTTATTTATTTCTTTATTCTTTTCATATCTCTTACCACCTAATTAATACTTATTAACTTTCTATTTACAGTTTTAATTTCGAAGTCAAATTACAACAATTATTTACAAATGTCGAACAACTTTTGATATTGACTTTATGTTTTTCTTTACAAATTTTGGGTATACTTTTTTTTTTAGAAAAATATAATGATATAATATTTACCTACCTAATGTTATTGTTAATATCGTTTTAAGTTTTAACTATATCCCAATTAAAATTAACGCAACAATGTTTGTACTCACAATATTACCACAAACTATAATTAGTATTTACCACGTAGATTATACCATTATTATTATACCATTATACCATTATTTACCACGTAGTTTTATAATTAATTTTGATTTTTTACTATTTTATAGATTTATATTTTACTAAATATTCAATACGTCCATATCATTATCATCACGACTACCGTACTTTATATGATTTCACTATACTTTTTATGTATATTTATAAGTATCGATTTAACTAGTTTTATTAATATGGAGGAAATCGATGAGAAAGATACAATACGAATAATGAGAGACAGCTGATATGATAAAACGTACTTCATACTTAAACGTTTAAGGTTTAGCTCAAAATAAGGATGTTTTTTTTATCTTAAAAAATTATTCAGCTAGTATGGTCAATAGATTTTAAGTTTTTGTCTATCTGATTTTACATAGGTTCGAAACTTCGGATACACATGAAGGCTAAACAATAATTTATGGCGTCGGGTCCAAGCATGTTACTATAATAACGTACAGTTTTATGTTTGCCCGTGTACAATAATTAAACGTGACTTATCGCTTATCATATCTTGCATTTATGATTATTGTTGTATTATAATAATTTATGTAAATTTATTATGTACAATGGATCAAGACAGACGAACAAAGAGAGTACAGATTTTCAAATAAATGCTTTAATGCGAAACTTTACATGGTAAAACTAAAAATCTTATATAATATAATTATGTTAAATTTTATAAAAAATAAATTTGTTAATAATAGTGTTTTCTTTATGTTTTGGATTGTTCTCTATAAAAAAAAGTGTGTCTATAATTCTTCGAGTTAAAATAATGGTAAGATATGTGTGTCATTTTAGTTGAAAATGATCTGCTGAAAATATTAACTAGTCGATTGAAAAAAGTTCAATATTGTAAAAGTTTATATATCTAACAATTATTTAATTTTTTTTTTTTTAAACATTTTTAAAAAATTACAAATTTACAAAAAAAACCTGTCTATATTAGACTAACCTGTCTTTTTTAATAAAAAAAGTTGACGATAGATATTTGAAAAAATTGTATATATTATACGACCACACTTCTTCTACCTTTAGTCTAATCTTCAGACCTTAAATCCCAAAACTACACCAAAAAAGTGTAGTAAAGAAAAAGATTCAACCCTTGGATCGGAAAAATTGTATTATTATTTTATTTTGTTAACGTATATTATTAATACTATTTCTAGAGAATAGTTCACAAAAAATGTTCGAATATTTTTTGTAAAATTATTAGCATGACGTTAGTTCTTATTTAACAAATACAAATGGAAATAGGTTATGTGGTATAAGAAATTAAAATATTATCCTAAAAAGTAATATCAATATTTAAAATTTCATATTCGATTATAGCTTATAAGATATTTGTTGTGGTTTTAAGCTTCGGTAGCTTATGCATAAAATAGAAAATAACAAACACTTCTTTTCATTGGATTTAAAAATATCTAAAAAACAAACTGTATAGTCATTTACGATTTCGTAATACTTAAATTAAGTAAATTGTTGGATCAATAAGACCGGACTCGAATCTTTTTTAATGTACACCCTACTTCATCCATCACTTGACAACTGAAGACAACTTTATTAATTACTTTATCCTGGTATCGAATTCGAGACCTTGCTCACTTCAACACTTTAGTGCTGAACACGGTAATGTATCATTCCCGAGAAATAACTAGAGACACATACCCACGGCTAGCAATATACTCTTTTTTCATTTGTCATTTCACTTATATATAGGTAGTATAAAATATTTCCTAAAATATTAAGTAAATAATATATAACTAATATAACATATTTCATTAAATGTGTTAATAGCTTAGTAAATTCAACACTACATTACTGTTAAGTGTAATTTTTTTTACTAAAAAAGCATTCATTCTATACAGACATAACCTATACGTGTCTTTACGATACAAGCTAGTCGAAATACTAGAAATAACTTTGATAAAAACCCCAGGTTTGTATGAAATAAAAAATATGCCTAAAAAAGAATATATGTCTATCAACCAATCTAATTTAAACTATTTAGTTTTTATTTATTTTAACTATAAATAAAAACCGTAATACTTATAATGTTCATAAAATTAGTTTTATAACTTTTTTAAACCGTATCTACAGTTTAACATAAGAGCGTTTTAGTCGTAAAAAATATTTTATCACTTCCGTGTTGTGGGCGCTGTATTAAAAGTTACTAAGTCACATATTTTACGAAATTTAATTTTTCATTATGTTATTTTATTTAAAATGTTGTTTTTTAAATGACTAGAATTTTAAAACTTTTTTTGTTAATATGAAAAATTTAGGTTTACTAATACGTACTATGTCTACACTGGAGAACACCTAAATTATCTTTCGTCTTAGTGGTCTTAAGATTTTAGAAAATTTGACTAAGCACTTTTAAAGATCACAACATTTACTATTACTTAAGTAATTATTTTGTTATCATCATCATCAGCTTAACAGGTTTTTAAGGCCAAATGCTGGCATCGTGAGGCGATGGTTTCTTGACGAATTCGCTGCCCAGGACGGGTCGTCAGTCCATCACCGAAAAATTATTGTTTACTAATCCAAAGAAGCCTTAAAATCAGAAATAAATGTGTTATTAGTATTTTTTATTCCTTAGAAATATATATATATATATATATATATTCTTTTTTCAATAAACCAAAAAATTGAAACTATAGAACTTTTTACAAACCTATTGATTAACATCGACATTTAAGGCGAACAACAGTATAAAATACTGGGGTTTTGCATTATTTTTAGATTATTGAAAATCTAGTCATGCATAAAAGAATTCCACGCTGTAATAAATATAATATTATCTACAAACACGCAGTCCCATGAGTAATAATGAAATATTTGAATTTTTGATCTCGAAGTTTGTAACAGGTACCACCATTTTACGCTATATTTTATAATACAAAATAAATGTAAAACGTACAGATGTAGCTGAATTGCCTATTCAATGCGCCGGATTACCGCAGTAGACGAAGACTTACTACCTAAAGGCTACACTTAAAATAAAACAAAAGCTTGTTTATAACATCTAACTTTTTTTGGAATAAATTATTAGAATATCGATGTTGCAGACGTTTTTTAACAGATCATACAAACTTGGGGATGTTAAATTTTTTTTAATTATGTGTTGTATTCACAACTATCAAACTATAACTGAAAAATTTTGCATTTTGAAAATTTTCTGCATTTTTCAGCTGAGTCTGTAACCACGAAAGAGCATTTTCATGTATCTAAGGTGGCTAGTAAACATATCAAGTTTCTGTCTAATATTTTAGTGTTTTCATAATATCTGACCTAAAACAATTCATAGGAATATGACCTCTTAAATTATTGAATTTATTTTTCAGTTCTAGTCTGAACGCTGTGAATACAACATATCTCTTATCTCTTATATCTTATCAGATAGCAGCGTAACATTTTTTTGTTAACACTTTTTTCGGTAATGTGCCAGAGCTAAGACATCCCCATCCCCATCCCCATCTTATCTCTTATCTCTTAAATTTATTCGGTACTTCAACGAGACATGAAAATGCTCATTCATGGTTGCGGACTCGTGTAAAAAATGCTTTTTATTACAATGATTGTTGAAAAAAAAAATTAAGGAACTAACTTAGCTGCATCTTTTACATACAAAATGCATAATTGCAATTCGCATAAATCTTAAAATTAACAAAATATAGAACATGACAAATGTGTTGCTGTAAAATAATTTTTGCATCAATGTTTTTTGTTATAGGTATTGAGCTGGAAATAATTTCTTCAACTTATTTTTTCCAGTAATGTCTGCGATGGAAGACCAGGTTGGCGAAGTACTGCTAAGAAACTGTACGATTATGGTACTTTCAACAGAGTTTGGACATTCCACTGCAGAACTGGAGTCGTCCAATTCTACCTTATTGTTAGGCATGCTCGGAACTATGTTGAACACCGCCGGGCTGACCATGCCTAAGAAGACCATAGCCAGAGATCGACTGCACGATTGCGTGTACCCTGTGACAGAGCCATCGCACAACATCAGTTGGTGGCATAAACTCACTTGGGTGACTTTATTCATAGCCATGTTGATAGTGGCCATTGTGGGCAATTTGATCGTCATATGGATTGTTCTAGGTAAGTAGTATTTAGTTTTTATTAACTCTGACTTTAATTATTACTGAGGGTTGTTTTGCGAATGTCAAAAGAGTACCATTATCCTGTTTTTTTTTAAATTATTAATTATAAAGATAGACTATTGTTATTCAATATTAATGTTAGTACAGGACCTTGAATAGTGACAGACAATACTTGTTGTCACTTGTCAGTGAAAAATGTTTCTCAATGTACAGTTTCCAGTTTCTACGTTATTATAATTCCATCAAAATGCAAACTGAAAAGTAATTATGTTTGCCTTTGATGTAATGAAATAATAGTGATTAAGGACCCTACGCCATCATTGTCCATTATCGACTAAGAGTCTCAACACTTAAATAAATTATTATGCACACCACGTAGTAAATAATATAGTATTATCAAACCACATATTTAAATATGGCACCAATAAAACGAAAAAGAAAATATATATAATCTCTCCAACACCCCCTCCCCCTTTCCCAATTGATAAAAAAAAACTCTTACTAAAGGATACTTATTTTCCATCTAATTATATTTTTAATAAAAGGGAAAATTTTCCCTAACATCTTTCAAAAACATAAACTGTACTATTTTTTTCTTTGCGAAAATATGACGTGTTTAAGTTATGGTATAAATACCACTAATTGAATATAAAGTACATGACTTTTAAATTCTATTCAACATTAGAAGGTATTATGGCTTCACAATGGTTTGTTGATGAAGTATTATCGATAAATCAAAAAATATCATATCTTTTTCTTTTAGAAGGGGTAGCAACTTTTTCTTAATTTTTCTAGCGTAGCTTTATTACCAAGGGCCTAAAAATTAAATTAAAGATAAATGTATATAGTGGATTATTAACGCATTTTCCTATAAAATACATGTTTTTTTTATTATTGTTCATGATAACATTATATTATGCAAAATTTAACTACTATTTCAGTGTGATTATCACCAGACACTACTATAGTCTATAAAGAATAAAGATAGATAGGATGTTATATAAGTGACAACTATAAAATATACTAATGCAATTATTGCACAATCCAGTAATTTTATGTAAGATCCATGCAAATATTCTTTACCTTTTCCACCTTGAACTCTTTCAAAGTTTATTAAGTGTCTATAAAAATGACACGTAAATGTGTATTCCAAGAAAAAAATTCTAAACATTACACAAGCGAAGCACAAGTGGCATGTTCCAGTATTATAAAAATGTTCATTCGTTTATTTTATGAAATCAGCTAGAGCTAAGTATGTTTAACAAATATGATAAACAACTTTTTATAACAAAATCAAATCAAAGCGTTCTGATCTTATTATAGTGAGTTAATCTCTTTCAGCTTTAATGATTTTTTTTGATAATTCTCGCAAAATGTTAATTGTACTCGTTTTTTACTATATCTTCTATACTTGTCAAAAAAACAAGTAAACAAGTTTAAAAACTTTTTTATTACAGGTTATTTAAATATAATTAAAAAAAATTTTTTTATTTTAAGTACTATTAAAATAAAATACTACTATACTATCACTGTAAAAAAAGGTTTTTCATTTTTTTCGGATAAGCCAAAAATGAGTATTTTAAACGTGCTTCAATTGAATAAAGTTACCACGCTTTATTATACCAAATCAATAAATTATAGAAATAAAAAAAGTGAAAACGTTACAATATTATAACTTGTAACGTTTTATTATGTTATATATATTATACTACAATATCATCGCCAAATAATTTTAGATTATTTATGTAATACTGTGTTATTAATTTTGCTGAATCCATATTATAGTTTTTTAAAAATTCATAAGTGTACATTTGTAATAGGACTTTGGTCTAGAATTTTTTTTTTCAATAATAAAACGATTTACGACAAAATATATTAGGATACATAATCGTTGCGTATATAATAATTTAACCAAAAGTCATAACGATATATAAAAAATGGTATAATATTTTCAAAATGAATACAACTCAGAACACGTGTGTCATGTATTTTATTTTTTCTGCTTGGGCAATCGTTTGTTTAATTTTTAAACTTAACAATGTATAATTGTTAAGTTAATTTTACCAGAAACAAAAGGATTTCATCACATTTAAATACTTTATTAGACTCTTTTATGTAAATTTCCAAAACTATAGTATCAAATTTTATTTAAAGATAATTAAATAATTTTTTAGTGTGAAAATCATTCGTTCATGTTTACATTTCATCGCTTTATAAATTGATATTTCTACAGGAGTTCTTAAGTGATTACTGGCAAAGATAATTGTACAGTGAATCATTATTTATAGTATATACAAGTATATATTATAACAATCGCAAAATGAATTACAGTGATTAATCTTGGAAAAGCAAACCTCAGCTATTATAATTAACTCGGATAAAGGGCTATCAATTTGTAAATTGCTAGTAGATTGTGCAAACACTGAACAGGCTCATAACTCAAATGGCAGTTTCTCTTGGAGCATAATTCCAATAATGAATCTCCTCTATTTTGCAGCTTTTTGGCTCGCAAATAACTCATAAATGTTTTATATTTTATGACTTCTTATATCAATAATCAGATTAATGTTTATTTACTGTCGTTATATTTTATGTATCCACTAAAAACAAGTATTTATTTATTGATTGTAGTATAATATAGATCAGTAAAGAAATAATCTTTATAGTCAATAAATATACATTTTTACAGTTTAGAAATTAGTTTCACCTAATCAAGTTGTAAACCATAACAAAAGTATAGCCTTAAGATGAACTAAATTAAATTACACGATTTTGATTTTTTAATAAAACTGTACTCTTTTTTTTATTGGACTCGTTTTAAATTAAATATAGTTGATTTATTTTTTTTACCAGGAGATAACGGATCAGCTTCGTGTGACTGATTCGTATTTTCGTGAATACTGTTTGCTCTTTCGTTGTAATACGGTAGTAGCGTAGTTGTTAGGTATATTTTGATAGTTTTCTATTGGTGCAAACTTTTTATATACCTATATTGTATAGAATTCTTTGTAGTTTTGTGTCTTATTGTGTTTGGTCATTTGTATAAAATGTGTTTTTTTGTAACCAGTTCATTAACTCTGTTAGTTGTTTTACTATATTCAGCTTGTTTTTTTCCAAATGTTTCCCGGGGCACTAATGACTGGTTAAAACTTAAAAGTGAATTACCAAGGGAAAAGTGTTAATGTCTTAAATAACTTTTATGTTATGGTTGTTTATCGCCATAATTGTGCTTGGGAAGTAAGTGAGGAATACATTTAGTTATTACAGTAGTTTTAGATTATATCTAAGGTTTTGATCGTTAATCATTCTAAAGAAGATTTTAAATTTAAGATGCAATAAAAATATAAAATAAATTTAAAAATATATTTTTTAAATTTAATGAAAATATCAAATTGTTTGATCTGAGAGTAGACTATTTTATGTTTTTCAATACTACATAATAAGTTCCAGAAATACATTTCAGATAAAATAACTATTACTAGTATTCTTTCTCTTTTAAAATTAAAATAATAACTATGAATAATCGTTGTCAATCGCAAACGTTACATATATATGCATAACGTATACACGTTCTGAAAATAAGCAGTGTGAATAAATCGTTTAAAATAATTTTTATATAATTGTGCAAAAATGCAAAATAAAATTTGTATTTCCAATGTGTCCTTATTAGTTTTATTTTTTTTAATTTAAAAAAACGAATGTTAAAGAAGTACGCTGTACGGATAGAAAAATATTTTATTATCATATAATGTTACTAGTTACTAAAGCGAAAAAAAAACAAGTAATATAGTTAGTAAGTTACTTTTTTTTTAAAGTGATTTTATCACGTCTCATCATGTATAAATTAACCGCCCTACAAGAGTTTGAACGACTAGACCTCCAATGCTTCGTCCCCAATGAGTGTCCTTTTTAATATTTTATATATTATGTTCGGGAATAAAGAATTTATATTTAATAAAGCCATAAAAAACCAAAATTGTAACCTTATAAATGAGAAAACATATTTATATAAAATGAATTCCTTGAAATCGCTGTAAAAAGATTTTAATAGTCTCTTTCATTTCAAACCCAACTGTTCGATATATTTTACTTTGAACCTTTTTGTACAATAAAATCATACTATGATGTTCTAACAAATAATTTAGAAAAGCTTCACTACCAATAACACATTATCATACTCGTACATACATCTACGTCTGTGATATATTAACCAGTAAACAACAACGTCACACAAAAAAGCTGATTATATATGATATCTCTTGTTCTCTATATATTTACAAGTTTAAAACTATGCACTCGTATACATATTGAAGATTCAGTAGGAATATGGGTATTATGTGATTAAAATTGTATGGTTTCGTGGTCATAAACAAGTATAAGTTTAATTACTTTTCAACTACCAACATCCATTGTTACAGCTCTAAAAAAACGATTTAAACAAATATAATTTTAATTAATATTATTATTAAAGTTTGATGAACGACTTTACAAACAAAATGTATTTTATTGAGTCTTTACTTAAAAACCACGAATCCATTTTTCTCTAAAATTATCCAATCCCAAACCAGTTTAATAATTTTATATCAATAATAATGTTTATCATATATTTTATTAATAAAAAAAAAACTGTTGAAACAAAATCAACATCGACCTAGCTAAATAAAAACCTAGCGCAGTTCTTTCATAAAAAAAAGTAAAAAGTTATTAGCAAAGAAAGAAAGTTAAGTATAAAAAATACTATTCAATTATTACTTACAAGTCGCACATTTTATATTAAAATTATTTTTTATAGTAACGAGCTATAACACATCAATACAACAATTTTAGCCTGGCTATAGTATCATATTACATTTCAATATGGCTAATTAAAGTTATAATTTATTATTATATGTATATTACTATTTACTGGTTCACTTAAGTTTAAGGTTATTGTCATGCAAAATATAATGTCAAGATGTTTATTTTTTATTTAACAAGACTCATTTTGAAAGTGACTAT